ACAGTTTTAATGGGAATTAGTCATGAAAAATGTCTCATAGGTCTATGAACTATGAATGTTTTCATTCCCCCCCAAAAGCTCATTTGTAAATGTCCTCATAAAACTCATTTTCGTAATTCATCTTTTTTAGTTTTTTAAAAAGAATTCTAAGTTCCCACATAACATTATATAGGTAGTATAGAGCAACCCTATGTGAAGTAAATTCCTTTTTTAGTATGTATCAGGAAGATCTGGTGGCTTAGTGGGTAAATGTGCTGCCAACACAAAAGCCCACAGTTCAAATCCAACAGCTACTCCATAGGAGAAAGATGGACACTTTACAGCCTCTGAAAACCAATGGAGGGGCAGCTATGAGTCAGTTCAGACGTAGCAGACAGTACCGTTAACACTGGTTAGAGAAGTAATGCAAAATCTTAGTTTCCAAATCAACATTTCCTTCTCAAAATTTCCTAAAGTACTGATTTCAGGATTTTATTACAGTAATATCAAATTGTTTAAAAAAAAAAATTTTTTTTTAAATCCTACAGTTCAGTGATATTATCTGAATTTATTTCAAACTAATCTAGGTGATGTAGAGGTAAGGGCACTTTACCAGGGAAGTACATTTAGCTCCCCAACATCACTAAAATTGCTACCGGGGGAAGCGGGGAAAAAAACCAACCCAAAAAGCACTTGATGTTATTCAGACTGTAAAAATTGATACTGATACTGAGAAACTCCCGAACGAACACACACACACACTCTTAAAATGATTTAGGGTGGGGTGTGGAGAGAAAGCCACAACTAGGCTACTTTATAGTTAAAATCAGTTAACAAGTCTCAGGACTCAAAAAATGCACAAATTTGGTTATGTGGCAATTTCTGGTTAAAACTGGTCTTTGTTGGATTTTCCTAAAATCTTTGGTAATGTTTTAAAAACTAGGCTTTAGACAAATGTTGTCTACAAAAAAACAGGTATTTTAGGGTTTTCACACTGTGACACATATTAGAAAAACTATTACTAATTCAGACCCTGTAGGCCACATACAGACTTACCCTTGGCCTTAATTTCCCACTTCTGGTTTACAATCAGATGTTACGTCAATTCCAGTGTGGTATTTTCTTCTTTCAAATATTTGCTCAAATGTCACCTTCTCAATGAGAACGTTTCTGAACTTGCTCCTACCCAGTCTCAGACATACAAAAAACATGCTCAATTAACATAGTATTAATACTTAATATCCTATAAATGATCCTCTGGTCCTCAGCATGACACAATCCCCCACAAATATAAATTCCATGAAGGTAATTAATTTTGTCTGTTCTCTTATTGATTTCTCTCCTGAACCTAGAACAGTGTCAGGTTATCTCACGACTAGGCTTTAATGTTTAAGGATCCTCTCATAAAACAAGTAATATATATGTTAAATTAACAAGTGAAAAAAATGCTCAGACAAGATGAACAAGTGGAATATTTTTCATTTTAAAATTCTTTGTAGTTACATCTGAAAGGCATAAAGGTTTTCAAGTGTTTTTTACCGAAAATACAATGGCCAATTCTGGTAAGTTTTAATATCCTTCAAAGTAAATTTGCTATTAACTAGCTTCTTTAGTAACAAATTTCAGTTGTTATTGCCAACCCTCTTTGCAGACTAGTTCTGTCTTCTTTGATCTTGTGTTCCCTGCCCATTCAACTCACTGATCTAGTCTGGCAACTTTTCTTTCAAGTTAAGCAAGAAGTTACTTTGCTTCCTTTATAGCTTCAACCCCCAACATTTCACTAAACACTGTAATCTTTTCCACAGTATCTTTTATCATTAAGGCCAAAAGACAATTCTATTGAATAGTAAACTTATTTCTAAGTGTAAAGCATAAAAATCCCTTGGGACTATCTTCTACTGCTAAGTATAGTAAATTGATAGTTTAAAATTCATTAATAAAACATAGCATTAAATAAACATGTGTATTAATTCTGAGAATCACATACCACATTTATACAGTCCAAAATCAAAGTACAAAAATTAATGCAGGAAGAAAAAGTTTATCAGGGCATTTTTTTTAATCGCCATTTACCCAAGTTAGTCTTCATTTACTATTTCACTTTCTAAATAGCTATAATGCTACCAGTTTCAGGAGACAAGGAACTTTGACCTCTAAAAGACAAACTTTAAATTCCCAGAAGCCTATCGTCAAGGGTTAAGACTCCTTAAACCACTTGAGGTTATAATTTGGTACATTAAGGTTGTTTTAAAAAAATATTATAATAAAAAGATTGCTATAAGTCTTAAATTTTTAAAATAATTTTCAACTCTTGGTTTCTTACATTAGCATGGAAATTTAACTTGTTGGCACTAAAAGAGGGTAAACTTTAGCCAGTACATTTAAAAACCAAAATGATTTTAATTTTTGTTCTTACAAAAGCCAGGTGATTCCCAAGTTAAATCGCTATACCATTATTTCCATGAGCAATATGAACCCAACATACCCACCCCACTCATCTAGTTCAAGTGATTAACATAACGTGAGAAACTGCACTGTGTAATTCCTTTATTTTCTGCATATTAGTGCTTGCCAACACTACAACCATGAAGAACACAATTCCAAATACTGTACTTTTTAGTTTGGGGAGATCACAGTCTACAGACTCATTTACTTATATCAGACAAGATTAACTTCATTCAAAACTTACTGCAGTTTATAAGTTCACATAAATACAGAAGTTGATGCAATTCAACAGAAATTTTAAGATTGTATTTCTTATTCAAGAACTTGTTTTTCTGCAGGCTATTGTTACTGCCCCGTGATCACCAATAGCACGGTTAGATTTAACTACATTATAAATTTTAAATCTTTAAAGAAAATATGATAATTACAATTTCTTACCGAAGGATTTAGGGTTTTCCAATTTTTAAGTTTTTTATTTCCCCCTCCCCCCTTTCCAGACATTTCAAATAAACTAAAAATAACCACAACTCACCTGCAACATTCAAAATCAATCACTTGATGTATAAAATTTTATAATTATGCTCCCAGTTAAGACACACACACACAAAAAAAAAATGGCTGCCTACCAATCTGTCACAAGTTAGAAATACTACATTTAAAAACAAACATGAGGGTTTCAAGTTTCCTCCAGTTTAGGCATTTATACCTTTGTGCTTGTCTTGTTTCTGGATGTTCCTACAGCATTGATATTGATATAATCCATGTTTATGTACCTTAAAATGTAATCACTTAAAAATACTAAGAATTAAATTTATAGTGGAGCTTTGGGAATTTTAAAAGCAACCAAAACGTGTTCAACAGCCTCATTTTTAGAAAGTTCCACCAAAGTGAAATTGAGAACTTTATTACTTTAGTTGCATCTTGAATTCAAAAATCCCTTTGCACCATTAGGAGCCTAAAACATAGCACCTCTTTTCATCTGCTTTCAAGAAAATGTTAAGACTTTTAATTTGAATTTTTTTTCATATCCTTACGCTCACTTCTCATACATCTTTGGTAAAAAGCTCCATGATACAATATGGCCAAAGCATGAAGGACCAATACTGTCCAAGTATACCATGATAACCCGCTCAATTTTAGTTTTCAGATACCCTCATAAGCAAAACCTTTTCCTGTATAATGACTTTTCAGTCCTCATTTCCAAATTCCCTAAATTTAATTCCTTGAGGATCTCTAAAAGTAATCCTTAAGGCCATGTAAGAACCAGATGCTGTTTCACAATTCACTATCAGGCATCAACATTTGGTTCAAAGTATTATCATAGTGGTCTCTACAACCTAGTTACTGGTCCTAACCAGTTAAGCAAGTAACCATGTTAGGAACTATCACCATTGAGCATGCTGCTTACCCTTCAAAAATACGTTTACATTCATTGTCATCTGTAGGTTCTTCCTCTTCATCCTACATCTCCTTCCTTAAAGATGGTCTATTATTGAACCAACAGGATATCTTACCTACTACTTGTATGAGTTAATCTTACAATTTAACAAATTAACATTTTATAAAGCATCTTTTCCAGTGTTCTAATTAATGGAGATTTAGATCACTTTATGTAAAAAATTATTTATATACTCAGCATAATCAGTTGCTGTGATGTGAAAACAGGAATGTTATCACTTTTTTAAACTAGGTAAGATGTGCATATAATTTGATTGGTTAATTGCATTATCATCAAAGTAAATACTTTAAAATCTACTTATATCATTTAAAATAAGGAAAAGGTGTATATGCCAGATTTGCCAGTAAGTCACTTAAAAGTATCTACAAATATTTCATCACTATTGCCCCATTTCCTGGAAAAGTCTACTTTTAACGTAAAAAACACTGCAAAGTACCTTTACAGTGAGATCTGTCCTTGACGCGTTACACTTCCAGATTCTTATGCAGCAAAATTAGCTATTACAGGGGGAACTTGAGTTTTATCCCTACTCATGCATGATGTTTGTTTAAAAACTTAATAGCTGACATTTCAAACAACTTCTTACATTACCTGTTTAACATACTGATGTGTAACTGGAACATATTACAGTGATATTATTTATTATTCACCACTGTGGGCCAGGCTTACTATACTGGTCTCAGAAATAAAAGGTCACATTTGAAATTACTAAATTAAAATTAGGTCTTGTAAGGGGTGGGGAGGAAGGCCTTAAATATAAAAGACAAACGGCAGTTTGATTAAGCAATAATTTTCAGTTTACTAGATGAAACAGACTTGCAACATCGTCTGCATGAATGCAAAATAAGCCATCTACAGCAAGTGATAAGGAAACTGGGCAAAAAAAGGAAAAAGCATACATCGGGGGTGTGGGGGGGAAGATTCTCTCGAAATAAAAAAATCAAACCATTATTATAAAGGACTTTACCAAGATTGCTATATTTCCCCATCCCATTTGCTGGAAGTCAACAAGAGCATCTAGCACTTTGTGTTCATGTCAAATATCAGATTAGAACATCCTAACGCAAAGCAAAAGGGGGGGAACCAAACCAAAAAAAAAAAGAAAAACTCCCAAGCTCCCCTAAACCGTAGAACAGTAAACTCCAGAGTTCAGATTCAAAAGAAGAGAAAGTGGCCATTGAAAGAGGTGATGGTGGTGATAATCCTATGAATGGGTTTTTGATTTCTCTCCTTCCGGGGGGTTGGGTGGAGAAATGCTCATTAGGATTTGTAGTTAGAGGTTAACCATGTGAGCCCCTCATAGAGTCCATCCCCTGAGGTGGCACAAGAGGGCTGCACATACCAGTTCCTGTCCCGAATCCGGGTCAGGCCCAGTTTCTCCTGGATCTCGTGGGGTTTCATGGCATCGGGCAGGTCCTGCTTGTTGGCGAAGATGAGGATTATGGCGTCCCTCATCTCCCGGTCATTGATAATGCGGTGAAGCTCCTGGCGGGCCTCATCGATGCGGTCGCGGTCGGCGCAGTCCACCACGAAGATCAGACCTTGCGTCCCGGTGTAGTAATGCCGCCAGAGCGGCCGGATCTTGTCCTGGCCGCCCACATCCCACACGTTGAACTTGACGTTTTTGTAAGTCACCGTCTCCACGTTGAAACCCACCGTAGGGATGGTGGTCACAGACTGGCCCAGCTTCAACTTGTACAGGATCGTGGTCTTGCCGGCCGCGTCCAGCCCCAGCATGAGGATCCGCATTTCCTTGTTCCCGAAGATTTTGGATAGCACCTTCCCCATCGCGTCGGAGGAGCCGAGGCCGGGGGCATTCAGGTGTCCCGGGTCCCCTCTGCCAACAACGCCGCCGCGCCGCGAAACCGAAACGAAGCCTCCCTGCCGCGAGGGCGCCCGTGCGGCCTTGGCCGGGAGCTGCCGCCGAGGGGCGATGGCCCAGGCCCGCTGCTCACGCGGACATCCCCGAGCGAACAGCCGGATTCCTCCAGTCGCCGGCGCGGTCGGGCCCTGAGTCTGCGCCGGGGGAGCCGCCGCCCTGCTGAGGCGCGGCCCGGCCCGGAACTGCCCTTCCCCCCGCAGGCGCCGCGCGAGCGCCGCCGCGGTGCCCGCTCCTCCGCCTTCTCTTCACCCGGCCACGGGAGACGGAGGGGCTCGCCGGCCCGCCCGAGGTCCAAGAGCTCCGCGGTCACCACCGGCCCAGGCCACGAGAAAGGCAGTGCGGCTCCGGCGCCTGTTCAAGTCATTGAACCTCGCGGGAACTCGGCTCTCCGCCTGCAGAGACACACACACACACAGAGAAGTTACTGCCGAGTCTCCAAAGGGAGCGGGATGCGGGGGGGGTTCGCCTTCCCAGTTTGGCCCAAGGGGTTACTTACCTCCAGCCGCCGCCCCGAGCGCGGGCTCCCTCCGGCCTCCACCTCCTCCTCCTAGCTCTGCCGCCGCCGCCGCCGCCGCCGGAAAAGGCGCCGAGGAAACCGCCTCACTTCCCCTCCCGACTACGCAGGCGCGGCAGAGGCCGACCGTTCGGACAAGAGCGACCTCTGTAAGAGCGGCCCGCGCGCCGTGCGTCATGGGCGCCACGCGCGGGGGGCGGGGCTACGGTGGCTCGGAGGGCTCGCAGGTGCCGTCCGCCCCTGATCGGAGAACGCTGGGTTCTGCTGGTGCCCACCTGTCACTACTCTAAGGTCTCCTCGTTCGTCTGCTTTTCTCTTCCTCCTTCTAACCTTTTCGCTTTCATCTGAACAGGAGGGAGTAAGTCCACTCGACCTTCACCGACTGGGGCTTGTGGGTATCCTGCTGCCACGACGAATGCCTCCCCCACGTTGCTTCCTGGCCATTTCTCCAACCTTGGTGCCCTGCAGATGCTCTTTGGAGTTCCCTGTTTCCCGCCCCCGGACTCTGCGCACCCTCTCCCAGGGAAGCCCTATCCGTTATTTTTACCTTCTCCCTGGTCTCTTGGCTTCCTTTATTCCTCGTGTTCTGGTGTGTTTCCTGAAAGGCAGGTGGGAGGTCGGCGTTAATGCGGAATTTGTCATTTGGTGCGGCGCTTTTACTAGGCTGCCGTGCTGTAAAGCCTTTCCTTTGACTGAGACTTAGGGCCTCTGTGTATGTCCCAGAAGGACCAGCCCACGTTTCTTAAAAGTTGAAGCGTTACCAAGAATTCCTGCACCTTGCCACGTTGATTCTTTTGGGTTGCTAAAGGCTTTTATATTTCAATGTCTCCTCATTGTGAATGGTAGTAATTTCTTGGTAAATACTATCAACCATAGAGGGGAAAGGAAAACAAAATATCGTTTTTGTTTTTAAAGAAAGACGCTGTAATACAGAGTATGCTCCCCACATATGCTATATTGTCACCGATTTCATTTTGCTTGAGTACACAATCAACACCCTTGGTACCATCTGTCAATGTTTAAAAAGACTTTTTGCAATGGGGAGAAAAAAAACCCCATCTGATTTCAAGGACATTTCCAAGGTGCTGAGAAGCAACGATGTCAGTTTAAAGTGCATCAGATTCGAGTTGCTGAAAGTTGAACAGTGAATGTTGCTATTAGGTGCTATTGAGTAGAGTACTACTCATGGCGACTTATGAACAGCTGACCTAAACCCTGTCCTATTCTATGCCGTTCTCATCAACTCTGATAAGCTTTAGCCCATAGCTTAATATGTCTTGGGAAAAGTGTAGCTAGCTCCTTGGAGGCAAGGATGGCAAAGCTTCATCTCTCATACTTTAGACATGTTGCTAGAAAAGGCTATTCCTTGAAAAGAGTACTACTTGGAAAGATGAGAGGTCACCAAAAGAGGAAAACTCCCAGCTAGATAGATTGACACTCTTAACTGTGGCAATGGGCTCAAGTGTATCAGAGAGGATAAGAATTGACAATACGGATGACAAAAGAAAATGCCTTTGAGTTGGGGTGTTGGAGATTACTGAATATTCCACGAAATGCCAGAAGAACAAACGAGTCAATGCAACCAAGCTGCTCCTTAGAGGCAAGGGTGGTGAAACTGTCTCACATACTTTGAGCATGTTGTTAAGAGAGTTCAGTCTTTGGAAAAAGATACTATGCTTGGAAAAGTGGAGGGTCAGTCAAAATAGAGCAAGACCCTCAACAAGATGTATTGATATAGAGACTACCAGTGAGCTCGAGTATATCACAAAGGATGAGGATGGCACAGAATAGGACAAGATTCAGATCCATTGTTCAAAGGGTCACTATGAGCCAACTTGACATTATATAACAACAGCAACAAACTAACATTTCAAATTTTTTTTTTAATATTCTTTTGGTCAGTAGGTTATATGATGACTATTTAAAGTTCAGCAGGAAATTAATTCATGTTGTTAAAATTCTAATGATATTTTATATCATTAATAATAATCATTTTCTTAGGGAGCTCTTGGTGGCCTAGTGACAAGAAGCTGCACTGCAATCCAAAAAAATAGTTATCTTAACATCTGACTTAAGAGGCACTGTAGTAAAACTTACCCAGAAGATTTAGAATCAGGTTGGACATTGAAAGTTACCTCTCAGCTGCACTGCAATCCCAGAAGCGCATGGTTCAAATCCACCAGATGCTCTGCCGGGTAAGGAGGGACAATCTCCTCCTGTACCAGTCAGATCCGATTTGACGGTACACACACACACACACACTAATAATAATAATAAAAAATTTTTTAAAAGTTACCTCTCTATTCTTAACTTCTATTCATAACTGAATTGTTAAATCTCAATTCTTACGAACTCCTTATGTCAAATGCCTTTCCTACTTGATTTGATGTAATCATATAGTTCTTTTTCATTGATATGGTGGATTACATGATTGATTTTTCTGCATCCTTGCATACCTGGTATAAATCTCACTTGATAATAAGGTGTTGGATTCTTTGACTAGGATATTCTTGAGAATTTTTTCATCTATAAGAGACATTGGTCTAAAATTTTCTGGAATATTCCATTCTTTGCTATACTTTAAAATAATTAGAGTAGAATTGTATCATCTTTTCTGTGAATGTTTGGTAGGATGTGCCAGTGGAATCCTCTAGGCCAGAACTTTGTTGCTGTTAATTGTTTATTTACCAAGAAAAACTTAATTTAGGCCACATAGTCATGCTGTACAGTTTAAGAACATAGGTCAGTGACAATGTTCATGGAACACAATCCAAAGAAATTATTTATATTCCAAAATTATTTTGCACTCTGGAAGATACCAGTTCTCCTCATCTCCTCAACATCCTTCATGGAATCATAATTTCTGTAGAAATCCACATATGCTGTTTTCTTGGTTCAGCCACGCAAACTTATAAAAAGTTTCAGTGCTCAGGGATAGAATGACTGACTGCTCCCAAAATATGCATTCACAGATGCTTGGCCAGAAGGCCTCACATCTGAGGTTTTGCCAAAGCAGTGGAAAACATGGTGGTTCTTCACCCTCAACACCGATATCCTTCCTGACTGATGGAGAAATGGGTGGCCCAGAGTTTTGGGGGTTTTTTTGGTTGGAAGTTTTTTATGACGAGTTCTATTTTATTTTTTTGGTAATGAGTGTGTCCAAGTTTTCTGTATGTATGAGAGTAGCTAGGCAGTGAGTAATTTTTCTCAAATTTTTTTGGTGTAATTCTCTGTAGTTTTCTGTTACTATCCTTTTTGTTTCTGTTGGTTCAGTGTCTAGGAAAGCCATTTTGAGCACAGAATCCTTCACATTGTACCTGTGTTTATTGCCTGAATGAACCTCTGAGTACTGTTTTTGCTGTCCATCAAATATTTCGTTATGTTGTGTTTTCATTCTCATTTACTTCGAGAATTTTTTTACTTTTTTATATGACCGAGTAGTACTCAGAGTATACAGCATACAGATTGAATAGGTATGGAAAAAGAACACGATCTTGACACCCACCTTTCTGATTGTAAACCACACATTGTACTCTTGTTCTGTTCAGATTACTGTTTCTTGATCTATGTGTAGGTTTTGCATGAGCACAGTTAAGTGTTCTGGAATTTCCATTCTTATCAATGTCATCCATAATTATTATCTATACAATCAAATGCTGTTGCATTGTCAGTGAAACAAGTCAGCATCTTTCTGGTACTTTCTGCCTTCAGCCATGATCCTTCTGACATCAGTAATGTTATGCCTCTTTCTACAACTTCTGAATCCCACTTTATTTTCTGGAACTTTTCTGTCCATGTATTGTTACAGCTGTTTTTTAATAATCATGAGCAAAATTTTACTTGCATGTGATACTAATAGAATTATTCTATTATTTCTACATCCTATTGGATCACCTTTTTTTTTAATGGGAACAAATATAGATCTTTTCCAGTTAGTTGGCCAGATAGCTGTATTTCAAATGTCTTGACATAGATGAGTGTCTACATCCAAGGCCATATCTATTGAACCACCTCAACTTATGTTTCATCAATTGACATTTTGCCAGTACCTTCAGGGTAACTTAAACTTCTACCTTTATTACTGTTGGTTCTTGATTTTATGCTACTTCCTGTAATGTTTCATTGTCAACTAATTCTTTTTGGTACAATGACTCTGTATTCCTTCTTTAATGCACCCTGCATCTTTCAAGATTTCCTCTATAGAATCCTTTAGTGTTGAAACTCAAAGCTTGAATTTGTTCTTCAATTCCTTCAGCTTGGAAAATGTGAAATGTATTCTTCTCTTTAGCTTTCTTTTTTTTTTTTATTAAATTTTTTTTAAAGCAACATCATTTTTTTTTTTATGGAAAAGTAAAAGAAAAGATTCTTTCATTGTTTTTCTCTTTAGCTTTCTAACTCCAGCACATTTCATTATAATATTTTGTCCTCTGCGGCTGTCCTTTGAAATCCATTTCTCTCTTCAGCATTTCTTCTCTTTGCTTTGACTTTTCTACATTATCATGCAAGTTTCAGAATGATTTCTGGCATCTATTTTGGTCTTTCTTTTCCTTTTTTGTAGCGGCCTTTTGTTTTCATTATGGATTATATCCTTGGTATTATCCCACAATTCATCTTTGGTCATTAGTATTGATTGTCATTGATACATCAAATCTATTCTTGAGATAGTTTTTTTATTTCTTTTTAGATAGACTCAAACTCTTATTTTGGTTCTCCTGGACTTGTTTTCATTTTCTTCAGCTTCACTTTGAACTTTAACATAAGTAATTGATGGTCTATTCTAGAGTCAGTGACTACCCTTTTTTGACTGTTAATGTAAAAAGAGCAAGGTCCATGTGGGGTAGCCATATTTGACCTTCACCGACTTCACAAAGGAGAATTATCCCCATAATACCAACAGCTCAAAACCAGTTTTCATGAGGTCAAACATGTCTGCCATGCTCTTACATCTCTTTCTGTTCATCCCAGCACCAATCTTCACTGCTTTACTTGGTCCAGAATCCAATGAGATCACTTACAGACTGCACAGAACCAGACTGGGAAA